TTGGATCGTCTGTATATCTGCGGCTCTTGTACAATTTGTGGTGCTGGGAATCCACAACAGCTTTGGCATTCTGTACATCGTATTCTTGAAGGAGTATGGCTGGGGTAAGGCACTCACAGGTACGGAAATTTCGTTTCGTTCATATAACGTCGTTTCTATTTGGCTCGTTCTTGTGCAATACAACCATGTTTGTTATGACACAAAAAAGCGTAACAAGCTAATATGTTGGTGTATTTTCACATGCGTTTGGTATTTTCCGCTCTCCTTGCGGAAATAATTGTCAACACTGTAACGAAGTCATGAAAAGCTAACAACTGTCTGTAAGTGTGTTTATTCATAATACTACATCGCCGGAACTTGTTTAAGATTAAGTCGCGCTGAGATCACTTAAACTGGTAATCGCATGTCGAGGAAATCATATCACGAGATTAGCGCTCACTCACGCTCGAAACGTCAGCTTTTTAACTCTTTACGATGGCCAATTTACGTTATCAATTTAGTTTATAATGCTAAATTATCTTGGTACACTCTCCCACCGACGCAGCACCGTAGTTTCTTTAGAAACTTACCCTATTTTTTCATGGATACCGTATTTACTCGTGTATAGGTCGACCTGTTATGACCAAAAAGTCAGCCCAAAAAAATCACCCTCGACTTATGCACGAGTCATAAACAAAGACCTGACCCAAGCAATCCAAGAAATTAGCATAACAATTACCTGAAGTCCATTTGGAAAACCGAGTTTATAAAACTAGTTCTAAAACCAGTTCGAGTTTCGTCAATTTTCAGCGCATTCTTCGTCAACAAAAAAGTTTGAAATAAGAAATTTGAAGTGGCTGAACACAAAGTTACTGGAGCTGATCTCTATTGTGTCTTCGGACTGTAGGGCACACATTTTTGCTAGTAGCTTCCCTGTTGTTTACAGTGTTGAACTTTCGACTTTATCGAACGATTTCAGTAGCTTAGTGACCTGACAATTATTGTTGTCTCGCGCGGTCTTGTTTGATACGCACTATCCTCTGAAGCTCTCCGGTGTCCTTTCGGTCTACTTAATCTCCTTTCAGACTCAAAATTAAGATAAAGGTTAGTTAAATGCAAGAAGATTTGATTTTCAATGTGATTTACAAAATATGGTACGATACTTCTCCAGTAAATCGAAGTGCTCGTGTATGCTTAAATCGTGATGATGTAAACAGTGCTATAAACTTCAAAGCACACGGTTACATTGTGTTCTGCAGTTTTCTTAATTCCCCGTGTTTTCAATACAATCTCAGAAATAAGAGATTATCTTTCTGGGAAATTCCTATCTGTCTGAATTTTACTTTTTGACCAGAAATGATGAAAAAATCCGATTTTTGACCTTGAAAACGGGGGATGGACTTATATGCGAGTTCGACTTATACACTAGTAAAAAGGGTAATTCAGTTTTATACAGACACTATGGGACTCTCCTGCATTCGAAATATTGTGTCTCCTCAAATTAGCCACAGTGAATCAAAAATTAAAGTCCGAGTTTGACTGATGCAGCCAGAGAAACATCTTTCTTCGCTTTCTCGACCCGCGACCCGTCATGTACATTTAGATTCCCCAGAGAAGGCAGAGCCCCCATTTTCCTAAAGCATACAAAACATTAGTAGGTGCCTGTGCGATGTTTCATCATGAAGGTTCCTATGATATTGTTGTCCTGAAAAAAGAGATAGTTTTGGTGTTGCCTTACGATTCGTTTTTGTAGTTTACGTCTGTTACTGTGTTATTCGAGTTTGACCTCATGGCGCTGATTAAGTTCTAATCTACGACACTTCAATTTCTGGAAAAAAAAAAGAAAGAAAAGTGGTCTTAAAAGAACAGGCCAATATGATGTGACTTGTTACTGCTGCAGGGATTTCGATGAACTTGGAAAGACTGGTACTTTGCTGACTTCCGTTCAGAATGATGTAGACATTAAGCTAAAACCATAAATCTGTTGACCCCCGCCGTAACAAGCTACAACAGAGATGTTTTCAGTTCAATTTGGTATTCCCTGTGTAAACACGAAACTGGGGGAAAGTCTATGTTCGAGTGGTGTGCCTGCTTATCCTACACTGACCTATTATCACCGAGAAAATGTTAACATGGATATATTTACTTTTGGAGTGTTTTGACTACCCTTTGATATCGACCTACAAAGTTCGAAAATCAATGGCCCTGTTGCCCGACTGTGGCTCGTTTGAAAACCTTTCGTTTTCACAAAATCGACTCAGATTTAAATTAGCGTATTTGTGTAACTGAAACTGGTTTGGGCAGACAAACAAAACATGATACAGAAAGCAAAGGTTAATAACTTTCGGATTGGAGTCTGTTAGTTCTCAACTCAACTGTTCGCTTCCCGTGAAACAAGCTGAATATTTAAAATGTCGGACAACGGTATCCTTACAAATAAGAACAAAAAAACCTGAAAGAAGCTGTCCCTATCGTTCATCGCAACATTGAGATTTGCCAAGATGGTGGGTGGGGGTGGATCGTCTGTATATCTGCGGCTCTTGTGCAATTTTTGGTGCTGGGAATCCACAATAGTTTTGGCATTCATTACATTGTGTTTTTGAGGGAGTAAGGCAGGAGTAAAGTACTCACAGGTGCGAAACATAAGATTATTTTCCTTTTCACTCGCACAACACATGTCAACTTTTCAATTTCGCCGGTAACTTTACAGCTTCCCGACGGCTGGAACGCGATCCAGCAGTGTTAAGACACAAATAGGATGTAATTTGCAACAGGTAATCGAGAAAAAAAAGAGTAGTATTGCGCATACGTCCCATGTCTCACTCGTGCGGCCTCTCGTGCGTGGTCACGTGAAGCGTGTGCCATGCAAGGTAACAAGGAACTCACGTGTTCTTCGAGTGCCCTGAATGGAGGTCACCCAAAAGTAATATTCCTCTTAACTTAACTCAGTAAATCACAACAAGAGATTATTAACAGTTCATAATCTCTTGAGCACAATTACCATCAGACTTAACTAATTAACTATACAAATACATGTAATCTCTACATCTTATTTCTTTTTATTTTTATTCTTTATTAGCTTTTATCATATATAGTCCTAAATTTTTTTCAGCTGGGCAAACACTTATGTCATGAGCACGGGAGACCACTTCCTGTTTATGTGATGTTAAATAAATTATCCTATCCTACCTTATCTTGTATTTAAGGCTTGTTCAATTTATTTTCTGTAGTCTTCGGTTAACTTTGTAACTAGCTGTTTTCCATAAGCCACGTGTCTCAAGATCTAGATGTACAGTTAATTCCCTCTAAATCTTACTGTCTTTTTTTTTCCCGCAGGTTACATAGGTTCAATGGGACTGGGTATGAACTTCTTCTTTGGGCCATTAACCAGCACACTTTGTGATCGATTTGGTTGTAAAATCGTGGCCATTGCTGGCGGAATCGTTTCAGTTATTGCTATGGTTGTGACGTCATTTGTCAGTAGCCCCGTTCCCATTTATATCACCTACAGTATTACGTGGGGACTGGGGTCGAGCATGAGCTACGTGCCAACATTCCTCATTTTAGACAGATACTTTGAACATCAGAAATCCTTGGCACATGGGATCGTTACTGCGGGGAGCTCAGTCGGTGCTCTAGTTATTGGCCCAACAATCAACGTACTCGTAGAAAGTGTTGGGTGGCGACATACTATGAGAATCCTAGGGGCGTTCGCTTGCGTGATGATTGTCGCAGCCTTCTCTTACAGAGCGCCTCCTGTGAAGAGCAAGATGTATAAAGGCGAGAAAAAAATCATTGATTTAGCTGTGTGGAAAAACAAGGGTTTTGTTGTATGGGCACTGGCACTTGGTATATTCAACTTAGGATACTTTATACCTTTCGTATATTTGGTGAGTTGACTATTCTCTCTCCTTGTCTCGTTTTTTTTTCTTTGCTTGAACGTTTACAAATTTAGCAGGGGAGGGGTAGGGGGGGTTGTGAGGCAGTTAAAAGCTGACCTCCTTTGCTCAAAATGCGCAAGTTGAGCCCAATACCTAGGAAAATACGGCAATTACTGAACCAGGAACGTTTGGTTTTCACTTGATGGCATTACGTTGGTCCTCACGCAGAGCTGTTAGAGAGCTGCTACTTTTCGGTCACAATGCGCTTTAAAGTAGATATAAGTGTTATTGGGTGGGTAGATGTGCGAGTGGAAGCCTCGCTAACAGGCTTAAATAAATCTTAATTGAGCGAGAGGTTGTGAACATTTTATTGGGGATAACGTGTTGTCACGGGAAACGGCAAAGGCGCAGCTCAAGGGTTTTATACGAGACGTTTGCTCTACTGTTTCATTACCCGTCTCTTTTGCCCTAAAATGTTTTTTTTAATCATTTAAAATAGCAAATTGCTGCAAAGAAAACCTCACTGAAATGTTTAATATTATTTTTTCTCGACTCACAGCCTACACACGCGACTTACCATGAGATACCACAATCAAAGGCTTCCTTCCTCATTGGTTTCCTTTCGGTTGGCTCGTTGGCTGGTCGACTTCTCTTCGGCCATGTCTCGGATTACCGATGTGTCAATCGAATGTACCTATACCAATCAGCATTTCTGATAATGGCTGTCACAACAACGCTGTGTCCATTGGCCACAAATTATGGCGGACTTGTCCTTTTTACAATTTTATTTGGGATTTTTGACGGGGTGGTTGTGACTTTGACTCCGGTTATCACGGGAGATATCGTCGGTAGCAACAAGCTATCATCAGCTCTCGGTTTCCTCTATTTGGTTTTCTCGATACCTCTAATGACAGGCTCACTTATAGCAGGTACGTTTCTCCTCTAAAACGTTTACATGTCTTGGTTCGATGCACAGGGCACCCAGTGTGCAAATTTCATTCTGTTAATTTGTGGGCTTTTAATTTTCAACAATAAGGACAGTTTTGAAAGTGATGCCATTACACCAAAACCTCAGTCCATTCTTCGAAGAAAAGGTTAAAGTTTCACTAGACATTTCAATGATGACCTACATGAATAGGATTAGAATTCCAACCGTCGATAAATTCTCTGTCCTTGGACGCTCCTAGAATCGTAAAACGTTTGCCCATGGAAGGCTTAGTGTGGATTGTAAAATGGCTTGTTACCCCTTTATGTGAGAAAAATTTTCATGAATGAAATTTTCAGGTAATAATGGTTTGTTTTTTGATGAAACAAAAAGTAATGACAGTCGTCAGCGATACTTGTCAAAGGCCTGGCTGGAGTAATTCCGTGATAAATAATTTACGCTACTTTTAGCTTTTATTTTAAACTCTTTCATGTCTTTCATGGAAAATCTTGCAAGTTTATGTTTTTGATTTATTTTTATTTTTCTAGGCTTTCTTAGTGAGATCACAAGTACATACAACGAAGCCTTCTTCTTCTCGGGCGGCATGATAGCTGTGTGCGCATGCATCCTGTCACTAGTCCCAGTTTTAACTCCGATGAGACAACATGGAGTTACGGAGATTAAAATGAGGTCAAACAGCTTCCTGGAGAAGAAGGAAATACCACTATTTGTTGAAACACATGTTTTTTTAGAAGGAGATCCATCTCAAATTGCGTACTACTCGCAGTTT